GGGCGGCGTGGGGGGACATGGGGGGACACGGGTGAGACACCGGGAGAGACACCCGGGGGGACATCGCGGGGGGACCGGGAGAGACACGCGGGGACAGCCGGGGGGACACCGGGCGGGATACCGGGGAGGATGTGCTTGAGACAGGCGAGACACCCCGGGGGGTACCAGGGGGACACTGGGGGCCCCGGGAGGGACACGCGGGGGACATCGCGGGGACATGGGGGAGACAGCGCTGGGATACTGGGAGAACAGCAGGGGGACATGGTGGGGATATCACGGGGACATTGGTCGGGAAACTGGGACAGCGTGGGGATACCAGGCAGAACACTGGGGGGACACGGAGGACACCAGGGTGGGCCATTGCAGGAGGACCAGGAGAAACATTGCAGGGACACAAAGGAGATGCCGGGCGAGACACGTGGGGGACATTGCAGGGACATCAGAAGGACCTCAGGCGAGACGAGGGGATCACCCTGGGTGGACCCGAGGACACCACAGGGCTCCAGTGGCTTCGAGGGGCAGGGGATCACATCCCCTGGGACTGGAGTGTGCTCAGCCCTGTCCCCATCGCCCAGGCCAGCAGTGTGACCCTGCTGGGCTGTCTCTGGGCTGGGCTCTCTGTTTGAGAGCCAAAGTGGTGCCTGTACACTCCAGAAGCCAAGCAGGTGTTTGTGTAACAGCAAGCCAAGCCCCAGGCCTGGCTCTGGTGTTCACTGATCACCTGCAGTCACCTCCCCGGCACGGGGGAGGTCACACAGCAGCGAGTGCTTGGGGAGGACTTAGGGAGGGCAGAGCACTCACAAGAGATCCCTGGAATGACCACAGTAGCTGAGGCTGGAACACAGGTCCTATTTTTCTTCTGTTTCCCAGTTTCCTGGACTTGAGGTTCTGGGAGCATTTTGGGTGCCATGAAGTCCTTTGTTCTGCTCTCCCACTCTGGTGAAGGTGTGGGTAAGGCACAGCACAGGACTGAAAGGGTTCTGGGCAGAGTTAAAGGGGACAGGGCAGCTCCAGGTCCTCATCCTCACTCTGAAGTGTCAGTAGATACAGACACATGTAAATATCAATAATAACCAGCTAGTTTTGTATATTCATCTCTGATGCAGATCAATGTGCAGTTCACTTTGACTAGAGTTCTCGGGTGAAGTACTTCTAGTGTGGTTGTAACTCCTTTTTTTCAGTGGATTAGGAAAATCAAGGTTTTCCATAAAAGTTTAAGCGTCCTAGGAATTGCATCAAAACTGGAGCAAGCCCATAGACCAAACTGCAGCTGCTTGGCTGGAGGATGTTAGGAACAGCATGTGCTTTGTGTCCCAGCCCTAGCTGCTCTCCTTCTGAGACAATGGACAGCGAGGTGCAGAGGGATGGCAGGATCCTGGATTTGATCGATGATGCCTGGAGGGAAGATAAATTGCCGTATGAGGACGTGGCTATCCCTCTGGTAGGTGAACTGCTACTTATCAATCTGAGTTTAGGCTGCTGTGTTTAGCACAGCCCCTTGCAAGGAGCAGCACAGAGGATTGCTCATGGTGCAGCTACTCTGTGCAAAAGGCTCCTGGGGTGGGTCTGACTCTCTCCTTGTCCTCTGTGCATGTGGGGGTTTCTGTCCCCCTCCCCCTGACCAGTTGCTGAATCTTCTCAGAACTGGAGTGCCCTTCCCATCACACTGTTCTGGGTTTGCCATCAGGGAGAAGTAGAATCATCCTTTCTCTCTGCTTCCCCTTCATATTCCTGGTGTTTGAAGTGGTTTACCAGTTGGTTTGGCGAACAGAGAGTATCACTCTCATTCTGACAGTCGCAGTCTTGGTTACACTTTACTTCCACTTCCTGAAATTCCATTAAAAGAAGCAGAAAAAATTTCAAACATCTTCCTAATGAGTCTTTTCCAGCTCCAGTGTTGGCTGTTGCCAGTTTAAGGATAGCAGTGCAGGAACTGGCACCTGCAGCAGGACTCGGCCCAGAGCTCTAAAGTGGTGTTTGAGCCTGACCTGAGTTATCTGCACCAGTGCTCACAGGAGAGATTCCTGGGAGCTCATGGGCTGGAGTCATGCACTGTTTGCAAAACTGAAACACTGTTTAGCTCATGCTGGGATTTCCAGAGGTCCAGAACTCATAATTCCTGCACCAGTGGTACCTGGCAGAATAGCACACACTTGGTGTGACTGCACCAGGACAGCAGCACAGAGAACCAGTAATAGAAGGAAGGACAAGTCTCAAACAATCCTTCCTCCTCACTGTGTCATGAGCAGCTCTGCATCACACCTGGTAGGGAGTTCTGACTTCTACCCTTGGTCCAGCACAGCCACACCTGAGTCCAGCTTGGAGAGAGGAAGGATTCCTCACCTGCCATAGCAAAGTAACCTGTTACACAACCAGTTGTCTTAATAACAGCTGTAACAACTGCAGGATCTGTATTCTTGGCAGCAGCAGAAACACATTGCAAACAAGCAATGGAATAATTGCATTGTACTGTTATTTATTCGCTTTGCATTTGCTGTATATCCTCCTCCTCCACTGCAGTCTGAGTGCACAGCGAGGCCCCAGGGTCCTGGAAAACCAATTTACCCTTCAGATTAAGCACCACATTCCTGTGAAAAGAACATTGTTCATAACAAAGCTCAGTAATATTGGGAAGTGAATCAGTACATGTGATGTTTATTGTTCAGATGCACACTCTGGTCTCATTTGTGCATTTCTGCATCTATCCAAACAAAGTCTGAACAAGCTGCTCCTCTCAGGAAGCATATTACATGTGGAATACACTGTGCCTCTGTTTTGTTCTCAGAACGAGCTCCCTGAACCAGAGCAAGACAACGGAGGCACCACCGAGTCTGTGAAAGAGCAAGAAATGAAATGGACAGATCTGGCTCTCCAGTACCTCCATGAAAACGTCCCACCCACAGGAAACTAGTGACTCAGTGAGAATTCGTGCAGCAGGTGCATGAGTGCAACATAAACATGTTTTCCAGCTGACCATCACTGCCCTAAGCTGCTCCAAGGAGGAAACATTTCAGAAACTCTCAGGTTCCAGCAGTGGGTCTGCTCCCAGTGACCAGTTTAAAACACTTCTCCAATGAGTGTGAAATAGCAGAGGCTCTCAGAGCTAAGAGTAGAATGTTTCACTTCTGTCAGATTTTTTTGCAAGTCTTCTGTTAAATTGTTCTTAAGTCAGTGCCAATTCTGATCTTAAATGCTTTCTACACATGATTAAAGTGAAGTTTTTACCGTCTCAAGTTGTTAATGATTTCAGAGCTGGCAGTGGGATCATTGTCTAGAGTTCAGTGTACAAAACCCAAAGAGGTTCATAGATTGGTAAGGGGTTGCAATGGAGCTTAGTTCCATGTCCTTCTCACGCTGGGGGCACCAGAACTGTGTGCAGTATTCCAGGTGGGTCTCACCAGAGCAGAGTAGAGGAGAAGAATCATTAAGCTAAGTCAGTTGTTACCTTCTTTAAGTAGTGCTTGGGGCAGGTGTGGAAGGTTGGTGAACAGGACTCAAGAGCTGGAAGTATCTTGTAAACAGGTGGTTCCTTGAACTCCTCCTCTCAGGGTCTGCTGGTGCTGGACAGCATTTCCAGTGCTGACATCCTGGGAATGTTTGCCAACACATGTACAGCTAACAGTCCAATTTCTGCTAAAACTGTAGTAACACAAAATCATTGTCTTTGGAGGGATGATTGAGAGTTCCAAAGAAGAGCCTGGCAGTGCCAGGGCTTTGCCAGCCCCAGCCTACTGAAGTGAGAGCAACCTGGATGAGCTACCTCAGATGGGAAATGGAAATCCAAGGGAAGTGATGGGGAAAAGAAACAAGTTGGGCTTAGCTTCAGGCAACAAATTGTTACGTCTTTTTTTGCCGAGAAGAAAGGCAAGGCCCTCTTGATTTCTCTCATTTCATCTCTAATTCTCAGATGTCTTTTTGCAATAGGTAAAAGCCTTCTGTTCATGTTTCACTGTTGGATCGATCCCGTCTCACCATTGGCAGAACTTCCTAAGGAGAAAATATTTTGACAGTTTAGGATTACTGGTAGAGGTGAGAAAGGAACTGGAAGGAAAACAGTGCTTCAAATTATATCCTTTTGCCAGTGCAGCAGGAAAATCACTCTCCTGGAGCTTGGTGCTTTCAGCACTACCCTGGAGCTTGGAGCTTCCAGACTCCACAGATGTTTTTTGGTGTCTTTTCTCAATGTTTATCCTCTTCAGCATAAAACCTCACCTTTTTCCCAGGTGATTACCAGCTGGGGTGAGGGCATGGCACACATTCTGTGGCACTGGGATTGCAGAACCTCACAGGGATGGAGAGCTCACAGTGGCTGTGAAGGAGTTGTGGTGGGCACACACTTCCTGGGGTGTGATCCCTGCCAGCACCAGGCGAGCAGCACACAATGCCGGAAGAGAAGGAGCTGCAGACAGTCAGCAGGCAGAGCTAGGGATTAACCCAAAAATTAGTAGAGTTTAGTGTGTACAGCATGGACCAAAGCCCCAGCTATGCAGCTGGGAGCTGTAACAGCTCAGCTCCTCATTGGATCATCACCGCAGGGGAAAAGAGCAGAGCCTGTGCCTAATGAGGTATTTCTGATCCTCCCTATGTTCCCTTCCCTACGCTGGAAGAATTAGCTAAGAAAACAACAGGCACATCTACCACCAGCTCCTACCCAGCAGCCATCCCTGCTCTCTCTTCCCCTCCCCTCCCACCCCTCTACAAGCTCCCAATGACCCTCATCTTCCCAGTTTGCCACTAGATCTTCCAGCTCCAACTTAAGACTTCCTTTCCTGCCCCCAACAGCTGCTTTTGCTCAGCCACCTTCTTCCTCCCACCCAGCAAGGAAAGAAAAAGCCTCACTTGAATTAGAGGTGAATCCATAAGGTTCCAGCAGGTCTGGTGGGAATGTCAGATGTATGAATGTCACCCAAAGCAGCAGCTGGGTGGGAGCCCAGTGGAGAGCCAGACTGCCCTGAGGTGGTACCTCCTCTTTGCCAGGACCCAGAGCTGGGCACTGTCTCCTGCCAGAGGTGACAATGTCTGGTAGGTTGGAAAGGACCCTGGGCCACAGTGCTCAGGACAGCAGGGAGACCACTGGAGGTGAGGGAACTCCAGAAAGGCAGGGCCCTGTGAAACCAAGCCCTGCCCAGATGCTTATCAGACTTGCAGTGACACCTACAATCTTCTTGACATTCTTTGCAAAAGACAAACAGACAGGCAATAATTTCCTCAGTTTCAACACATGTAGTCAAATTGCTGCTTACAGCGTGACACCAACCCATTTGTGTCTTGGATTAGTCATCTCCCAGGGCAAACTGTGTTTAAATTAAGGAAACCTGCTAGGATGGAAGGTGCCCCACCTTTTTAAGAAGAAGCTTCAGTTGTATAACTGAAGACTGGTCTTCATTTCTTGGCTGGTAACTTCCTCCTTTCACCACACCTACTGATCCTGGCAGGGGAAAAGAAGCGAGTGGAGACAGCAGACACATGCCAGGGAAATCGTGGGATACTTAGAGTCTCCTACCCAACAAGACCCATGTGGAGGTCCATATGCTGAGGCTGTGTGTTGTCTTCATCTGCCTTTTGTATGGGGTGAAAACAGGTAAGAAAGAAACCATTTGTTTTGAATCCTTTTGTCAAATCTATCACACTTCTCTGTGTTTGACAGAAACAGGGACGTCTCTGCCCTCTGCTTTACAGCTACTGCATAGGGTTTCTCACTAGCAGTACTTGTTTTGGCAAAGCAAATTATACTGGTTACAGGAATCCAGTCAGTTCTAAGAGCTCCGAATGTAAAACCAGGAGTATTTTTCATTATCTTTTCCTCCCTTTGCAAACATTTCTCTTCTGTAAGGACTATCCATTGACACTGAAAATGTCACTCGAAATCTTCAGAGAATAATGATTCCTTTCCAGGGGTGTCGTGCGCGGCAGAGGCGAAGGATGAATTGCCATTTGTGAACAGTAAGCTCCATTTGATATCCTCACAGCCCTACAAGAATCAACCTGTGTAACAATAAACAAATGTACTGCCTGTGTTAGCATACACATGGGAGCAAGTCGAGTTACAGCTCTC